GTTATGTATGTATGGTAATTACTTAATTTTGAAGTCAAAAATGTGTGTGTGAAATTATTAATTTTTACGAAAATTCTTTATTTTTAAATATGGGATAGTTAATTTTCTAAATGTTTTTGAAATCTACTAATGGAAGTAAAAATCCTACAAGCGTGAAGAAATTTGAAATTCCCAGTTGATTTCCTTTTGCAAAAATCAGAAGTAAAGCTTTCAAAAAAAATACAAACCTATTTTAAGATTTCATTACTTCTATACTTCTCTAAAAATATTTCAAGCCAAAAGTAAGTAGACCTAATTTAAGAGATATGAAATTGGCATTCCTCAAACCACTCTGGATGCACCTCCTCAAATATACCATATAGTGGCTAAATATCAAATTCAATTCGTGATCAAAATTATCTAATTATTTATAAATCGAGTAAATATTTGATCACTCAGCTATGTATTATTACGATTTTATAAAAATGGAAAAGAGTGTAACCATTGTTGATTTGATTCTAGTATCAAGAAGCCTTTAGATGCTGTGCGTAACACTTCGATGGCCTTCGTTCGACCGTCAAAACTGGTTTAACGAATTTCAACGTGGACGCATGTCGGTCTTTGAAGAGCCACACTCACAGGGGAGCATAAATTGACAACAACCAATCCAATTAAAAATACGAAATCATAACTGAAAACAGTAGGTATCTTAGAACACGGCCTGGGTATTATTCTGTGTGAAATATTGAGCGCGTTTACTCACTACGAAAAACAAGTGAAACGCACCTCAATATACCACAGTATATTATCAGGCTTTTTAAGCGCACTCTGAAAGAGGACACACCAGAGGACACCAAAGGTACATACCAGAGGCAAAATGTGGATGTATAATTAGTCTAACCTCATGGGCCGAATGCAGAATGCACTTGCAGCCTAACATAATTCCGACTCTCACCACCTCCATCGCCACGATCAAATTAGACTGCGAACCTCTTAATTATTCACCACAATCGCCAAAATGGAATGTTTTGAACAATATATTAAACAATTTTTTTTTTTTTTTTTTTTTTTTTTTTTTTTTTTTTTTTTTTTTTTTTTTTTTTTTTTTTTTTTTTTGGAATGCAACTACTTATTTGACCACAGTCAAATTGTGAAAGTAATGACAACTAAATAAAACAATTAGTGACAATTTGAAGCTGGTATCACCCAGTGAAATTTTATCGAGACCCTACTCCTAATATTATTTTAAACATTATTATTATATTTTTTTTTAATTTTATGTTGCTGATAAGCTATTTATGAATGAATATTTTGAATTTTTTTTAAATAAAAAAGTAATAAAAAATATTAAGTAAAAATGAAAAATTTAAAAATTAAATTATATTAAAAATATTCTAAAATTTTTCGTAACTACCAATAAAAACAGCTTTGACTATTTTGTGCTCTAACCAGAGATCACTTTCACACTAACTATTATCATAATCATAACTCAAGCCAACAATTATTAACAACAACCACTACACACTACTTTGGCTGAGTAGAAAATCCACATAAATGCAACTTGCATGCTTTATTTGCTGCACAACCATAACATGGTTGCATAATAACTTCACAATAGCAACAACTTACTTGGATTCAACGAGTAGGCCAGCTTTTTGGCGAATTGCGATAAGCGTACGGACAAAACGATAACCGGAAAGCCCACCAACTGCACGGGCAGCTGGAAAAGTGGGTCAGGATTTTGTGCCACAGCATCTTCCACGAATTCCAACAATAACACAAACAACACATACAACGTTGGTATGAGCGATAGTGAGATGATTTGGCTTAACTTCATGTTTGCGCTAATTTTATTTAGTTATTTTCTTTTAATAATTTTTAATTTCTTCTTTAGACACCGAAACACTTCCGCAATTGCAGCGAAAAAATCGTAATTAAAGCGAACCGCCAAGCGACACTGGGTTTATATACCGCGGACACACTAGGTGAAATGCGACAAGACAAATATATGCCTTACTTCCGTGACACTTTACTTTTATGTTTTTTAGGTGTTGTTGTAAGTTTACAATAGCGCCAGAAAATTCCAAAAGCGCAACAACAAAAATATATTTTCAGCTAATTTGCAATTAATAAAGCTGTGTGGAGCTGCTTGTGCCGTGTGGAGCCACGAACGAGACGCGACTTGTCTTGTACTAGCCAACTGACTGACTGACTTTGGCGCGAGTAGGCTAAGCGCACACCGGCTGGCTTGAAAGACACAGCAATGCAAGCCAAAGCGTCGACAAAAAGTGGCACAAGCCAAAACGAAAGAGTTAAGCAAGAAACCCCGAAAATATTTTTGAGTGAAGTGTTGAAGACAAAGGAAAAAACCTAGAAGTGGTGCGGCTAGAGACGGTGGAGCAAAGTGTAACATGAAAAAAGCATTGTGTAAGTAGCTAAAAATATTACAACAACAGGCGGTGTAGTTTTCGTAAATAGTTGGACAAAAGCGTCAAAAAGCTGTCGGTTGTCCGTCCAAAGCGAAGAGCTGTCGTAAGAAAACATGTTTGGCTGCGCAAAGCAAAGATAGCTGATGATGACGCGACGTCGGGATTCCCAAAAAGAAATTACAAAATAAAAACTCAATAGAGGAACGCTTAACAATGCAGCGCCAAATCCCAGCGAAGAGTGTGAGGGCCTCCGGCTAACGAATTTGGCAAGCCAATTGATTTACATTGTTTGCAAATCGACATATATTTTATACCACCAAAATTGTATATAAAAATTTTTGTTGTAATTTTCCAACTCGTTTTACATTGCAAACGCGCCTTGGTACTCGTAGACCGAAACAAAAACCACAAAGCAAAACTACAGAGGCAGCCCAAAGAGCAAAGTAACTAAGCAAAGACACACATAGCGGAAGCTTCTGTGCAACTTTTACTGCGAAATCCAAGCAAACTCAAAGCAAAAACAACGTAGGAGCGGCTGACTGATACAAATAACTAAAAAAAAAAGAAATAACAACAACAAGTGCCACGCTCATTAGCTTACTCATTTGGTTGGTCAAGCCACGCCGTAGATCGAAGAAGCGCCAAAGCAGGCAGGCCGGCCAGCTAGCTGTCTAGCGGTCTGTCGTCCAACAAGTGAAAGTGTTTTTGGCGCTTACGGCTCGCCTTCGGGCGATTTACACACATATTATTGCCGCATATTTGTTAGTAGGTTGCTTAGTTCGTTTGTTTTGCTTGCCTTTACGGCCTCAGCTCGTGGCATTATTATCACTGATACGCTTTGTGCTCGTTTCTTGCGCCCAGACCTACCTTAAAGTAATGCCGCTGCGCTTTGTTATTGATATTCAAATGCGTGATTTGCAAATCGTTAGAAGTGAAACGTGAGCAAAGCCAATATGTGTAGTTCAATAAAACTGCTTGCATGTTGCTGCAAAGGGTTGTTCGCATGCAAGTGCCTGTTGATAATAAACAAAAGATGTTACCAAAGAGAAAAAGAATCTCTAAAGATTAGTTGATTTAATATATTTATTATAAGATTTATGCCCGATTCGATACACGGATGCATAAGAACTCAACATAAACCGGGTAACTAATTTTGAATTCGCAAAACAACTAACTAAGCTCATTCAACTCCTTTCAATAATACTTTTACCCGTTAAATGACTGCTTGATGATCAGCGCAGGTCTTGAAGTACCACAAACAAAGGGTGTTCCATAAAATTATTGTGTGACAATGAAGATCATACCAAATTATAATTTTATGAAGGAAAATTTTAACAACTTGTGATAAAGCTCATCACAGACCATTTATCTCTGAAATACGAAATATTAGAATATTATTTATGCATAGATGAAATATATATGAAAGTGTCAAGTGCTACAATCTAGTAGAAAATTGGCTGTTAGAATGAAAGAAATTGAAGACACTTCTAAAACACAAAGATTTATAATGATACGTTGAACTTGCCTGGGCAGTACAAAAATATTATTAAAAGATTAAGTGCGTCTGCTTAAGGTTGGACACAGTCAGACGCCTTTTCGACCTGAACTTTTTACAAACCAAAGATGTGTATATTCAGTCAACTTGAATACTAGAATTTGAAGAGACCTGGATAAAAGATTAACTCATATATGGTTGTCAAAAAAGTCTTGCGGTATTTTTATTGAATTTTCAATTGTTCATAAAATTTTTTTTGAACGACGTGTTAGCGCGTGAAATGAGATATAAAATAATAATAAATTAATTAAACTTTTGAGCATATCAAAGAACAACATTTGAGGAATATTTTTTTAATCTTCAATAAAAAGCGCCAAATCCTATAAGCGGTATATACGCCAATAATATGTAATAAAAATATTAAATTTTTTGTGAATTTTAATTTTTTCTCTTTTGTTGGAAATTCAGCCATTGGCAGCTGGTTTTCGGAAGCATCTCAGCATAAAAGACGAAGGACTCATCTAAAATCTAAAAATCAAATTTCATCTGCAAGTAGAAGAGCATAGGACGTGATTAATCGCAGGATTTGAAGAATAATTTTTGGCAGATTTGCAAACAAAAAATGTATGACATAAGTCTAATTTTGACCGCAGATTTCTTGAAAAAATTAGTTGTAATCTAAAAAACACATCCTTCGATGAATCACGAGGTGATCTTACCTAGAAGAACTGTGAAAAATTTCAATACTATCACAACAAAATGATCTTTTAAGAGAACCACGAAAAAGTGTTGAAGCAGCCGGATGGTCTTGACTGATAGGCCGCTCTCCAAACGGTTCTATCTCCTACACTTTTATAGTGATTGCCCTGAAACTTTAAGGGAAAGTTCCGATATCATATTATAGTAAGAATAAAATAAAACTTTTTTGAAATTGCAAAACTCACGTAACCGTAAAAATGTCAAAAATTCATTTTCATTTTTTCCGTTTAAGTTTTTTTTCGTCTAAGTTAAGGTTTTAGCTAAAACACGTAGTTTTCCACTTTAGACGATCCCGCCAAAGCGAGAGCATCACAAGGGCTCACTGGAAATGGTGGCGCAATTACCAGGTTCAAAATATTTTTTTCCAAAATCTCAGAATTTCTTTGGTAATATGTTAATAGTGCATTTTGTAACAGCAAAAAATTCTAAAAACATAATTTTTATATCAAAAAAAAATTTTGAAAAAAACTGTTTTTACCTGAGAATACAGGCGACATAACAGTAATACAGTTCATTTATTTTTTTTTTTTTTTTTATCAAAGAAGCTTCATAAAGCCTGTATAGCTTCATCATATAAAAGCTCACGTAATTTATGTTATTAAAAGTTGTTTTTTTTGTTCTTATAACTAATAATTACTTTCTAAAGTTATATAATCACATAAAAAAGCGACAAACCATAAAGATTTTTTGGAAACACAATCGGACGTGCGCAGACCGTCAAACAATATTTGCTTAACGAATAATCGATCCATTCATTTATTTAATTATTAATAACTATTGTCGAATGTTTTTACTTTTGGATAGAGAAATTGAACTCAAACATATACATACATATGTATACACTAGAATGGGTTTAGGGAAGGTGTTCATATAAAGTAGCGCCACTGCGTATGAGGAATGCCAAATTATTTTGCATTAACTTTAATAAAGCAAAAGTGAAAATGTTTTCTTATTTAAGTTTTTTTCTGGATATTTAATTTTATTTTTTGCATAATTTTTCCAAACTAAGCACACTACATTCGAACAAATTGCCCCCTTATACGGTACGAATATGCTGCCAAAACGCAAACTCGCCAGTTCCACTGACAGCTGTGAGTTGTTTCGCTTTTTTAGTTTTTGCATGCACTTATGCAAACATAAAAATTATATAAGCTGGATTTGTATACAATATGTATACATACATATTTACCATATACACACATATATAAGTATGAAATATTTGCTTATAGATATGCAAATTATAACAAGTGTTATGGCCACCTTAACTCAATAAGGCAGAGTACTTAGTACGTTTGTGAGTGTATGTATAGTGATATGTTATAACACCAACAAGCAATTACGTACTTATAGGTGCCAGGTTGCAATCGTTTGGCCTTTTTCGTGAGCAGACATTAAACTATGCGTTTAAGGATGGTAAGTACATTGAGTAATACGACCCAAAATCAAGCAACAATAACAAATCGTTATAAAAATGTTTACAAAATCAAAACACAGGTAATAGGTGTCGGTTTGTAGGGCTGCCAAATATTGAATAACCTCAAATATTTTTTAACATTGTCAGATTTTTTTAATTAGTTATAAATACAAAAATAAATATAAATATTAATTAATATATATATAAATTTAAATGAAAATATAAATACATATATATAAATACAAATAAATATTTTGGTTTCTATTTTCCTAGGATATGGGACTCACAGTAGTTAAATAGTCAAAAAATGTGTCAAGTGTTCTAATTAATACTACTGTGCTTAAATTTGGTTGAAACTTCTTAATAAATACAGTGGTTCTAGGTCTCGACTCAAGTGTTTAAATATTGAGAAAGTGTTTCGTTGTTTCCGCCTCGTCTACTTCCATACATAAGATACCTATCCTTGCAGCATGAACTCCAATAAAACAATGCCTTGTTAAAAGCCCTACAACTATCGATAGGCTGGTCTTAATTTAAAATATTATTCTCAAAATTAGATTTTATTCTGTTATATGATATTATAGACTCCATTGTCTTAAGTAAATTTTCTTAGCATTTTGTACATTTTTTTATTACATAAACAAGCAAAAATACGTAAACAATTAACTAATTACTACAAAAGATTTTAATAATGGGTAATTGGCAACCCTAAGTGGCAATAAAAGCACATCACCAGTTTCATAATTTATTTGGTCGTCCCAAAAATTTGGGAATTACTCCCGCTGAGATACAATTAATATATTTATATAAAAAAACCAAAAATATAATATAGAGTTGGCCACTCTGTTAAACCGCGACAATTGAATATTAACGTCTAACAATTGCCTACACCTTGGTATGCATAAACCGGCATTGTTTTTCATGCTGCACTCAGTTAATATGATATTTACAGAGTGTCAAACTCACTGTGCCCTCCCACACTCAATCTCTCACCTCTCTCTCTCTCACAATCTCTGTTAACAGCATTTTTTCACTGCAGTAGTTGCTTTTGAACAGGCACACTTCTATGTACTCTACCGTCAGATCACGT